CCCCCCCCCTTTTTTTTATGGAAAATGTGACTATTATTGGTATTGAGTTATGAGAAGGAAGAAGGACTCATTCCTATCCGGAATGACGCTTTAGGACATCGCTGTAAGTAGTGCGCTCTAAAATGGAGCGTCATTTTGTACAAATTCATGCCATAAATCAAAGATATGCTTGGTGGAGGGCGGATGCCGTTTGGCGAAAAACAGTGTCTTCCATGAGGGGAAAACCGTCTCCCTGGAGCCTTCCCTGTTCTTCCTCGACTGGTAGTTAATCTAAAGCTCCAAGTAAATTCCCAATAGTACATGCTGATGACGTTGATCGTTCCCCCCGGAATACACCATGCCTTCAACCTATATTATGCGTTGATAAAGGGTCCAAAAGGGCCGATCCTTGATCCGTTGGGTCATTCTGATGACAGCGTTGCCCCATGCCACCGTCTCTACATCTGTATAACATTTTATCATCAGTGTTTATAATATATTGTCAGGATGCTGTACAAAATGAGAATTTTTTCAGCGAAAGAATATGGACTGATGCGAATTGTCGATGATCCAACAAAATGTGCTTGGTTGGCAAATGGACATTCACTGGAACATTATTTGATACGCCATCAGGTAATAAATAAATAGTAAACAAACAGTCACTGTCGTGCAATCGTTATTTTCACGATATTATTGTTCTGATTATTTATTTTTTCTGAATTGAACGGAGTATCATGTTTTGAAAAAAACGTTGAGCCAAGAATGTAACCTATACTCAACGGATAGCTCTTTTCAAAAGCAGCTTCCGTTTTTCAAAATTATTCGATCAATATTGGGAATAGAAAATTCCGATGGACATATGTAAGTAGTACACAAAGGAAACAAGAATAAAGGTTCCTGTTATAATCAATCTCTTTTTCATCTGCTTTACACATCCGTCATTCGATCAGGGCATTTCGTCTTTTACAGTAAAAGGCCGGGACCAGCACTATGAATACCTCCTTGTCAAAGGTTCTACCAATTAACCAGCACCAGAAACCTTGTGGGATTTGTTGATCAGAGTCCAGACCATCAGATCATCAGACCTTGTTCATCCCTATTATCATAAATCAAATATTGGCACTGCATCATTTCGTACTTCATTTCTTAGCCGAATGTTGAGAAAATCGAGATGGAATCGTTCTGAACATTAATTTTTTCTTTGAAAAGGGAGGAAATTTGAAATTAGACAAGTGAAATGAGAAAAAATCAAGCAAAAAGGAAACCGGCTTCGCTAAGTAACCGAATGTTTGCAGGATACGGTAGAATACCGTAAAAAAATTCGCCTACTAAAAGTACGTATGTTGGATGGTTCAGTAAAAACGATACCAATCGACGAAAGTCATCCAGTCGGACAACTAATGGTCGGGGTGTGTACGAAAATCGGAATCTCAAACTACGAAGAATATAGTTTGGTGAGTGCCTACGATTGCCTGCAGTAACTTTTACCTACCGTTCAAGCCAAAATGAAGTTAGAGTCATAGAACACCAGTAAGTAGAGGTCAAGTTCAGAGTGTCGAGTTTACAAAACCTTGAAAGGTATTTTGATTCGTTAAATCTGCAAACTGGATGGTTTTTGGCCATTTGTCTGTAAAACTATTTCTATATTTTTCACCTATAGGTGGACCTAATCGATCGCTATCGATTCTATTCACCTTTAGAATAGCCGATCAATAAAATTCTCCTACTTCGATGTGATATACCAGCAGTGCCCCAGCTTGCATTTGTCAGAGGATTTGTCAAA